TTGCTACTGTTTTGAGGGTTTTGTATATTTTAGTATAGATTGCTGTTGGAAAAGTCTGCTTTGATACTGTTTTATTTTAGTCCCCCCAAACATGTAATGAAAAATACCAATGTCACTCTTTTGAATACATTTCTAGAACTTCATGTAGAACGAGCATATGTGTACAAATACTTGTCTACCACTTACAAGTAAAGCCAAATTTAACTCTAAGTTCAAGTCTTGCTTTCAAAGTACTATTATCTTGAAAATATAGCTGTTTTCAAGCTAAAAATGTTTGCACTACTTAAATATATGCAAGACTTCTGTGTTTTATTGGAGCAATGTAATTTACTTATAAAGTCTACATTTAACTGTAATGTATATGCTGTTTTATTTTATAGGTTACTTTCTGTACTGATAGGATATATGTGCTTAGTCAGTGATAGGAAGAAGTTTTATTACTGATATTCATAGCTGATAATTATACACTTTTCTTCACATAGCCACAATATGTTTTTGTGCAGTTAAAGTATATACATGTGAACACAGTAATAGTTCTTCATATTTCCCCTCTGGCAAACAATTGTACTTTGGTTCTGCTCAGTATTTTAATATTTTTAAAGATCTGTAAGTGTGGGTGTTTAAATTATGGGTGTGAACAAATGGCAAATATACATAAAAAAAAGAGGGGGGAGAAAAAAGTCAATAAACTTCTTCAGAGAGCTACATCTTATTTTTATATTTTTTTATGTGGACCCTTGCTTACAACATTCTTGGTGTTGAAATTGTCTTGGGCATGTATGTTGAGTTAAATGTAGCATAGTTTCACATGCCTGTAATTTTGGGGAAAAGTAGAGAGAATGGTCTAAGGTCTATCCGCTCAGGTAAAAATTATTAAAATTCTTGTATATGCACACTTGCTTCATGCTTTGGCCATTTGTGAATCCTGGAGCATGCACTCAGGGCTTAGCTGGGGGTATGGGGAGATGAAGGAGGCTTTGTGGAGTCATAGGTTGTGCTGTACACTGGGGTCCTGAACACACATGAGTCAGATGAATAATCTTATTTCACATGTTTGGGGTAATATTCTGGTTTTGCTTTGGTTTTTGCACTCTTCTGTGTCTAAACTTTACCCTACCCCACTCACTATGTGTTTATCCAAATAAGTTTTGCTGGTTTCTAATGTTTTTTATTGGTACTAACTTGGAAATCATAGAAAAGGTAGGAGTGATAAAGGAGGTATTATTACTAAAGAAACAGAGCAGACCTAGGCCTGTTGCCAGTTTCATTTGACCTTGCCACGGTCATTATGTAGTCATAAATTGTAATTGATATCAACAGTGATCTTAAGAATTATGTGAGAGGAAGTTCTCATTCCAAGAAGTTTGCATTCCGAGAAAGTTCAGGACAGGTCAAAAGAAGACCAACTTTGCTATTTTCTAGCAAATCTTATGCCAAATACTGATTGCTGAATTGGTATAAGTGGTCAATCTTGGTGCAAATTGTGAGGTATAATAGTGCAAGAAGTTTTAATCATATAGAAGCAATGAACATTGTTTATTGGAATGTTGATTGTAACATAAAAAAGGTTGGAATAGGTAATTGTAAAGGACTTAAAGGTCCTTCACTATGTGAGTGCTCATATCTAGGTACTGATGAGGATTGCACAAGTTCAAAAAACCATAAAGCACTTAGGAAGAGTAAATGAATAGAGGAAGAAATGCAGTAGTGGTAAAACTGTGGCTTATACTCATGTTTACTATTTCTGTTACAGCATTATTTCTCAAAGCTGATCATGTAACTCAAATTATCTAGACAATAAAAAAAGTTTATTTGCGAAAGAATCAATGATATATGTGGGAAAGGTGTACTTCCTTAAGTTGTTAGAAAGATTTCAGAATTCATTCAAGTTCATTACTCTCCTTTACAAATAACAAGTTAAATTCCATTTACCATCTCATTTCCAGTATAATACAGAAGAGAAGATGCACAGACTTGGTGTGCTCTAAAGCGGAATTGGGCTCTCAGCCATGACAAGTATGATATTGCACATGCAGCAGAGCATCCCAGCGGTCCAGCCAGAAAAGTCTCTCCAAATGTTCTTAGGAGAGATAATTTAAGAAATTTAACAATGTAAGATAAGCAGCAGTACAGCCTAGGCTATACAAGAATCAAGCCTACATTTATGCTCTAAAGTATTTCAAGAGCAAGAAGTATACAACTAGATTTTTTTCTTTCTAAACTAAGAATTGAAAAGACATAAAGGAGTGATTATTGTTGTAACCTAACTGCAGTACTCTAAGTGTATGTTATAAAAGGACATAATTGAAAATATCCTCAGTAAATAGTTATGAAACCAAGACAGGCAGACTGAAAATGGCAGATGTACACTGAATACAAGTAGTGGAGATGTTGTTACTGGAAGGGTTCCTATTTATGACTTCACTGAACTGCTGAAGTCCATAACTTCTGTGTTCTTAACTTCTCTACATTTCTGTTTAGTGTGCTTAATATTCTTAAAAAGTAAACCCTTTATCTAGAGGTTTTGTTTTATAACTATAATTAGAAATATGTGCTTATATAGATTTTGTAAATATTCAGGTAACATGCATGTGTTTTTCCTAAAATTGATTGCTTTCCAGTAGTCATTTATGTGACCTAAATAGGTCTTTGAAGGTACATATTCTTAATTACATTTCACAGTTCTACATTTCACCTTTAAATTAAAAAATTATAATTTCCTTTCTGTGCTCTTTTGTTGTTCCTTAGATAATTATGCAGTTTTCTAATCTGCAGATGGCCTCTTTTTTTAATCGAATAATTTGCTTCAAGCAAAAAAATATTAAAACATTATAACCTATATGAATGACTATATAATTGTTCATAATTAATTTGTTGTCTTAAAATTGGTATATTGCTAGTCTCTTTTGAACGCTTTCAATACAGGTGTGCTTTGAAAGGATTCCATTAATCTGTTTCTATAGAGTTGCACAAGGAGCCTCTGAAGATGTACAGAATTATCTTGCACACTGGCTTAGCTCAGTGGGAGAACATGTCCTTCTGCTTGTGCTGCTCTGTATTTTCTACTCCTCTTAAAAGATAGCTGACAAGAACTGTTTAAAAATAGCAGGCCAAGGGCAGGTGACAAAATGTCACACAAGCAGCACCTGGTCCAGTGACAGCCTGGAGGGAGGAAAAAAAACCAAACCCAGATGTCACAGATAGGATTCTATTTCTGAAGCTGGTCAAACAGGAGAATTTCAGCTTCAGCAGAGGAAAAGAGAAGGACCCATCCAAGCATTATGCATTCAAATTTTACTCTTTTATAGTAGTTTCCTTTTTTTTTTCTTCTATTCTGAGTATTAATTTTAAAGTACAAATTAGTACAGACACCTTTTCTCTTTACAAGTAATACCTATAACCTCACACTCATTAATAACACTGTTCAGGAAAAGGGAATTAATGTCCATCTGGAGAGATGTCTGAAGTATTTTAGCAAAGGTTATACTAAATGTAATAATAGCAAGCTTTAATGTTTCTGCAGTGCCAGATTAATGTGAAAATATGTATAGGAGAATTATGTCTAATTAGGAAATGTGAAGTGGTTAATGGAAATCATCTCTTCAAGAAGATTTGCTCAAGGAGTTGGAAAGTAAAAATGGAAATTCTGTTTACCTTCTGTCCCCACTTCTTTCTGGAGGTACTCTTTGCTTCACAGCCTTATTGTGGTGGCATTCTTTTCTAAAAGGAGAAAATTTCAATGTGAAGAAAAGATTTATTTACTTTTCTTAACCTGCTTATGACTTAGTTTCAGAAGTGTATTGAAACTTCATGCTGCATCTGTTCAGAATGTTCATTCCAACACAGCAGTTTCGGTGACTGGAAATAGAAGGCTTTAATTATCAATAGGAGTTAAAAATGTTGGAGAGGATTGGCTTAAGTTCTGCTTTCCTAGAGTTCGTTTGTTAAAACTTGGGTTTGCAGAAGTGCAGGAAAATAACCATTGTATTGGTTTTTCAGTGTAGTGAGTGGATCCTGAGCTCCCATATTTGAGTGTCTGTGTAGTGAGGAAATGTAAAGTGACCTCTTCCTTAGCTCCTAAACTTGGACACAGACGTAGAGATAGGAAAAGCCTATGAAATGGAATTATATTATATACATAAATGTACTTATGTTACTTAATTGAAATACATTTTTACATGGTTATAATTATCCTTTTATATCTTTTTCTAAGTAAGGACTAAGACAAATTACAGCTTGCAGATTTTCTTGGGTGCTTTAATTTAAAAAGTCCTATGACAAAGTGTCTTCAGGGTAAGGTTTAATACTTCAACTCAGTTAAAAAGTATCCAAAGCTAATCTGAACAGCAATGCTGCTGTTGCCTCATTTCTTGCTTTAACAGTAAGTATGTTTCTCTGGACTAAGTCTCCTTTAGGTTAAGAAAATCTATTTTTCAAAGTACATATGAATGTACTGCTTGAGAACAATATTCCTTTCAGCCCAGTGTCTGATCTCAAATGGTCGGTGATGGGAGATTCTTAGGGAAGAATGCAAAACCAGAGTAAGAACTCTCTCTCCAACTATCTATTAACTTGAAAGCTTCTGGTGCTGCATGTAGTATGAAAAAGAGTGATTTATTTTTACTAATTAAATGAAGTTTTGTAATGCTGTACTCGCTGTTGGAAGCAAACTATAAATGGCATAACTGCAGCAAAGTTGAACTTGAGGCCTTGTTTTGAAAGGGTAAGCATAATGCTTTCTTAGTGCAAAGTAAGGGAATGTATTAAAATAATTGTTTTGTTGTTTATTTTGTGATTTTCAGTATTTTAAGTACATAATACAGTACTGACTGTACTGTGGTGTTAAATATTTTAAACGTGTATTCTTGGGAAGTTGTCTTCAATAGGTGGAAGATTCAACTGCCCTGACTGTTCATATTTCCTTAGAAATTCTTCATATTAATGAATTTATTTCAGTTTTGAAATAAAAACATTAAAAATAGCTTTTGCTTACATTGCAGGGCGTATGGGAATAAATTTCCATCATCCAGGAACAGACAATATTATGGCTCTTAATAGTAAGTAGTTAATGTCTAGTGATTTATATTGCCATGTTGAATTTTATTTCTTACATCTATTGTGTGTGTAGCTGCACAGTCAGACATAAATATGTGTAATGTTTGCACAGAAGTTCATATTCATTCTCTGAAAATGTTTTTCATAAATCAATCACCTCTGATTCTTTATATTAGCTTTGTAAAGGCTTTGTGTTTCACTGGAAGCTTCATAATGCCTGCTGTGGAAAATATTACAGAACAGTCTCTCTTGTTCCTTCTTTTGTGGGTGTGTATGTGTGTTAAAGCTGTAACTTTAATTTCTGGTATCTCTCCAGACATATTTCTTCCTGTTGGGATGAGCTGTTACAAGTTTTGCATACAATTACATGGACTGACGGCTTTGTTGGTTTCCATTATGTAGACAGGAATTGGGAGAATGTTTAGACATCTAAATAATGAGGGAAAACTGCACTTCACTGGGAGATTGTTGCTTTTTTTGTGTCAGGAAATAAAAGTAAAATTAAAAGTCCAGTCATGAACATGCAGACTCAAAAAACCTGGCAGGATGGATCTGGAAGACAGTTCCTGTGTGGGGAGGATGGGGGCCAGGGTGTCAGGCAGCACCAGCATAATGCTGAACTGAACTATGCAAATCAAAGCAGAGTGTTTGTCTGTCTAATCCTGAGAAATGCTGTTTTGAAATGTCCGTTTTTGTTTACAATGTTGTATTAGACATTTTAGGATTATTTACAAACTTCTCTAAAATTTTTTGCCTTTGAGCTGTCTGTATAAGTTAGACTGTGTATAGCTGAAAACTGCAGGGTTTTTTTGTGTAGTACTAAACAAAGAATAATTTATAGATGTGAATAACCAAAAATTTTTAATAGACAAGCTGCAAGGTGTTCAACATTTGGCTTTAAAGGGCAGGTCTTGAAACCTGTAAGACTTTACTTGTGTTCTTCTTAGTTTTACACTGTTAATGGTGAGGTGATATTTTGGGGAGTTTTTGTTGTCACAGGTAGCATATAAACCCCATTTTCTTATGACCCCTGAAATTATGAGAAATCAGGTAATTCACTAGGAGAAGTGTTTTGTTTAATTAAAGACTTTATTAAAAGAGGAAGCTATTCATTCCTCTCTGTGTAAATAAGGTCTCCACAGCACAGTTGTCAGGTGTTTGACATGAATTCTGGTCTCAGAATCTATTTGTTGTTCTAAAGTGTGCATTTCAACAAGCTAACTGCAATAGAAATATATTTATGAAGATGGGATACTATGACTGAATTTTGAGTAACCTTTAAAAATTGACAGTTATGATGAAATATACAGTAGTATTTCTTTTAAAGTCTAAAGATTTTTGAAAGATGGGAATGAAAACCTGATACAAAAAGTTATACTATTTTGGGACAACTTGCTTTTATCTTAAATGAATGATGTGTTTTAGTCTGATTTCTTTTTCATGAAAATAATGAAAAAAACTTTTTACCTGTCTAATTTCTTTGACATTTTTACAGCAGCTATATACTCTAATAGTTTATAAAAAAACGAACACATTTTGTAGCTATTTTCCTGGTACATGGTTAAAATATTAGCATAGCTAACTGAGGGACCAAAACTATATATATTTATGCATTTGCACTATTTAAAATATTATGGGTTTATTCAAATATTAACTGTTTAAAGACTTTAATGAAGGTGGAATCATAAATATGCAATTTATGGAAAATGAAATTAAGCACAAATCCAAAATCTGAATAAGATCCCATATATTTTTCCTCTTCTGCAACTCTTCTACTTTCCTTTCTTTGCCAGGGAAGGCCACTGTGAAACCTGTTGGGTTTTGCTTTTAAATCTTTGAAGAGCTAAGGATAAAAGCAAATATTCAAGTACAGAAGCCTAAAAATCACTTTCTGTGATAGAAATCCTTTCTGTATGCAGCTAAACTTGAAAAATTTCGAGCTAGGTAATTCCCATGTTATTCATTGCCTTTTCCCTGTTGTGGAGAAATATACCAAGGAAAATTAGTTCAAGAAGAAATATTCTTTTCTGTGCTGGAATGGCTGTGATTTAGGTTTAAAAAATAAAATAAGTTAAATAAAAAATCCCAAAAGATACTTCATCACAGTATTTTTTGGAATAATTTTGAGAACTTATGTAATGTCTTTAAATCATAATACTTGTCATATCTATGTTCAATTTCTGTGAAACCAGACACTCTCTGCTGAGTCTGCAAATCCAACCTTCACATTCTATTTAAAGTCATTGCTTCATAAGCATTTTTCCCTTTTCCTGTGAAGACATAGTAATAATCTTTAAGATTTATTACTCAAAGCTCAATTTCACACTGGCAATGTAGGCAATCTTTTGAAGTTGGAAGACAACATATGCTCATGCCAACAGCAATGCAAAACTTCACATACTGTAGGGAGAGGGGAAGTTTTCTGGGGGATGTTTGTCTCTAGCTCCTTGTCATCCTCTGTGGCAGCACTTTCAATTGTACTTCAGCTGTTATTCCTGTTTACTCATTACAGCCTTTTGAAACCGGGGATTTTCCTGCCTGCCTGTCTTGAGCTGCTGTCTTCAATGTTGGAGGGCATTGTTTGGTTTGAGGGAAGGTGTTGCTTAGCTGGCAGCACAGAGGGAGTGTGCTACCACTGTTCTGTTCATCATTGTGCAAGATGAATCATCACCATCTTAAAACACTTAGTTCTGAAATAATGAAATTCGTGGGGTAAAAGAGATTACTTTTAAATGCATAATTATTATGAATCTCTTCGTGTCATTAGTGGCATTATGCTTGTGTACATAAAGAGTTGCACATGTGTATAAACATGTTTAAATTATAAACGCTCTTGAAGTTCAGAATTAAGCTTCTGTTGAGGAGCTCAGTGTTCTAATATTCAGAGAGAGCTGAGCATAATCCTAAAGAGCATCTAAAAAAAAAGCAAGTTGCAAATATTAGACTGGAAGCATTTTTGAAGGGGAAATAGTATGGCTTTTGTCTGTGCTAGAGCTAAATAAAATTTCTCTAGTTGAAATAGTTCTAGTTGAATTGAATCAATTAGTGACACAAGGTAATTTTTAAATACTGAGCTACATACTACAAGAATTTTTATAAACTTTCATCTACAACACCTTATTAAAATAATTGCTACTGTAATTTGTGGAGGAAATGTGGCATAAATTTAACTCAAAGGTGTCCTCCATCCTTTTTCTTGCTAATATTCAATACCATTTGTAGCCATTCTGCAGCCATTGCTTCTCTTGACTGAATGCTCCTTTCTAATTAGCTGAATAACTAGGACTGAGTGATCAGCATGAATGCATAGTCACCTACATGGTAGGTGGTGAGCTGTCTTTAGGGCTTCTTGGGAACTCCAGAAAGCCACAGTAACTTCAGTGGAAGGGAAGTGTGGCAGGTGAAAAATGGAGATGGGAATAAATGAGGGTGTGTGATCTCTATAAGGAAACACTGAAGTGTTATGCTGGGATCCCAAACAATCTTCTGTAAAATAAATGTAGTCTAAAGGTAGTTAAATGAACACATGAGGAAAACCCCTTTGTGAAATGCTGGAATTCTGTTTTTTGTAAAGCTCCTTTGTACAGTGACTTTGCAGTCCTGTTGGGCTACAAATGTTCCATCTGCTTCCACTGTTCATTCTTGTCTCATACAAAAATGTGTCATCTCTGAGGTCTGGTACTATTTGCTCTCCATCTGACTGTCTTTTCATTAGTGTAATTTAGTTCCATTTATTCAGAGTAAAATAATTTGAAAAAGACATTAAGGATTTGGGGCACCTTTTTAGATGTCTGTGTTGAGATTTTGGTTTTGTTTTATTAACCCTGTTTATGTGGGGAAGTTGTCATGCCATGACAGGAAATGTAACAACAACAAAATTATTTTATTTTTTATTTGCATGTTTGTGATGTTTTTAAAATTGCCTTGTCTCCTAAAGAGCTATTGTACTTGGCTCTTCCTGATGTGTTGTTTTCAAACACATATAGTATTTAGATATAAAAGCTGCTGAAGTAGCATTTTATATTTACAAGTTTTTCCAGTGCTGCTGTTATACCCTGAAATAAACTGCTCCAAATAGAAAGCTTGTTCAATTACTTTTGTCTTGCAAGATCATGGCTTGGCTTAGTTTAATAGCTAATAAAAGCTTTCTTTTTGTATTGATAATATTCTGGGCAAATGTGTAACTAAATTCCAAGAGGCATCCATCTCATCTAATAGTTTAGTTCTTGCCCATAGGAATTTGCTGACCTCTTTAGCCCAGTTGCCAGGTTGGGTTACTAATGTGTCACCATCTTAATAGCATATATGGAATAGCAGAAAGGAATAAAAAACACTGAGAGAATTAAAGGTTTGCAAAACTAGACCTGATGTAGCTGTGAAGAGATCTGAGTTAATATAACTGGAGGGGAAAAAATTACTGATGTGAAGTGTGAGAGAGCAAAGGCAGTGAGGTTCAGAGGAGTCCCGGAGTGTGGGAGCTGTCTCTTTGCACATCACCTTGTTAGGTTTTTCAGAACCAGCTGTACAAGCAGTTGGTATTGATGCTGCCTTGTGAGGTGGGCTTGCTGATATCTCAAAGTCCTTTCTATACCTATTTAAATTTTAAAAAGGGTGAAGGGGAAAGCAAGGGAGCAATAGTAAGTACATGCTTTTTTTTCTTTCTTCCTTTCAGTTTTTTATATTGGCATCTGCACTTCCAGAAATCTGATTTGGCTGTTACTGAAGGCAGTATCTCTTATCAGTGGCTGCTTAATGCTTTTTCTAGCAGAGGAAGATTTCTTAAATCATCTTCCTCTTAATCCAACTTCAGCTCTTTAATATCTTTTTGTTTGTTTGTTTATTTTCCTCACCACGTTTCCTGCCTCACAACCCTACCAATGTGCTTTCCTTTCATCTTTGTGATCCTCTCTATTGTGGGTTAGTGCCATCTGTTTCCTCTGAATTTTAAGATTTGCCAAGCTACTCCAAGAGCATTATATATTATGCTGGAAGACATGAAGCA